GCACAAATTATGCACAATTTTCAGAAAAAAACGTTAATTTAATAACATTTCACTCAGATATATTACAAATGTATTTAAAATTCTTTTTATTAAAATACTTAAATTTTTTTTTTTTTTATTTCGAAAAAATCATAACTCAAAAATCTTACGTGTTTGAAAACTGTTTAGTCTCCTGATTTATCAAACTTTATGTTTAAAAATGATTTTTATTGTATGTCAGAGTTGTACAAATTTATATCTATTTTTGCACCCTTTGGTATAACATCGACTTCAGTAGAAAAAAAAATTCAGCGCTAAATAGAGTTAAAGAAAGAATTTACAGAAATTTATAGAAAAACATCTTACCTTTTTCTCCAATTACTTTAATATTATTTCCAGAAATAGTTACTAACCATATATCGTTGTATCCTACATCAAAACTAATGGTACCTCTGACAGTCAAAGTAGAACCATCTCTTAAATATAAATTTAAAGATTTTCCACTAGGTACTTCTACGTTGCTTAAAATAATATCAGTACAGTATTTCAGCACAGCCTCTACTTGTGAGTATTCTTTAATAGTACAAGAAACGCCAACTCCTTCTGTATTGTTGGTTGTTGGCAGTATTGAAGTACCGTATGCCAGTGCCAGTAACGGAAATAATAAAGGTATTGAGGAAACCATTTTAAGCAAATAATGAAAATGTTTATAAAATAAAGATTTATCTGTCGGTATATTTATACAATGTATTATCTTAGTGATTTTTAATTTTTGCAATTTAAAATATTGTTTTTTGTATAAAAATAATATACTTGAAATATTTTGATATCACTATCAATAGTCTTTAAATTAACTATCAAAGTTTTTTGTAAGGTACTCTAGAAATCATTTAAATATCAAATTGTTCAAATATCACCAATTTGTAAATAATGCCATAATCTTGATATTATAGACTGCACAAGTGATACACTTGTGCATCAAAGTAATCTGATGAGATCATGTCGCCATTTACAAAAGTCATTTCAGATATTTCAGCTGCGCCAAAACTGACTGAAATGATACGTAAACGTGCAAAGAAAGTGATCATTGTTTTATCGTAGTCAGACCATGTAAGCGAAATCAAAATAGAAAAAATAAGAAACTTTTAAAAGGTAAAACGCTTCTATAAAATTTTATAAACAGAAAATGAATTGTCACGAAGTAGTGAAAGTGAAAGAAATAACCAGTATTTTCTAGTAATGCATCTGAAAACGAAGATTCTGGTGAGAATGAGTGCATTGATTGTGGTGAGAATTATAATTCTAGATTTAAAAAAATCTGATTTGATTCCTTTGTATGTTGAGAGTTTTGCCTACACGTGTCATACTCAAAATACGTGGATCTGTGTCACAGATATGGAAAGATATGTGAGAAAAAAATAGTTAGCGATCTTAACCTTTGTAGTCTAGATTTAGTTTTTTACTTAAAGAAACGTAAGCTTTCATTATTTTCAAGGTATTATTTTATTTATTTATATCTTTTTTAATACATATCTTACTGTGACCAACTATCCCATAGTATGAGAGAGAGATGACCAATTGTTATTTTTCGAAATCTGTTAATAATTTTATATTACTATACAAAAGGGTGTACATATGTGAAATTATGAGTATAATTTCAGTGTATGAGGACTGTATTACATAGGGCTGGTTCAAAAAATTAGGATATGTAATAAAGGGTTATACAGACAATATCAAATTAAGTTTATACAAAGTTTTACCAACATTTCTGCTCCACACTTCGCGGTATTAACAGGCTTTCACACGCGGTTGTTCTTCATACGCGGAATCTGTCCGGCCACCGATATCTGCACACGTGTTTTGCGGTACTAACACTGAGATAAATTAATTACTATTTAACTGGGAATAAGCCACAATAAAAGATAAAAATACGTTATTCGACGTTTCAATTTCCACTTCGGAAATCGTTCTCAAAATACAAACAGTAAATTAAACAAATTTTGTTTTTTGTTACATAGTGAAATTCTTCTAATGACCAAATTAGAGTAATTGGGTCAGGACACACCTAATAGAATATAACCCAACTTGTTCATTCCTGATACAGTTACATATAGTATAGTTCCAAGGGAGGTATCTGTCCCTGAACCCAATTCCGTTTCACACCACCTACAAATGTACAAGAACTTCTAAATGATACAATAGAGCCAACAGTACCTGAGGCTCACACTGAAGCTGAACCAGTGTTAAGACGTTCAAGTAAAGTATGTAAACCTGTTCAGAGGATGAATTTGTAAGTACATCTTTATTTCAATCTGTATTTAAGAATTTTGGTCAAGAGAGGAGGTGTTATATACTTGGCAACACAGGTAGGCAACACCGCTCACTGACACAAGGTGAATGAAGTTTAGTTAGTTATTAGGCAATAAAGGTTAATGATGTAAAACCACGTGTATTATTAATTATTACCTTATTTAAGTAAGAAATACCAAATACACAACAATTGGCATACACAAAATATACAAAAAAAATCATAGCATGTAATTCGTCTTTAAAAAGACAAATTACATGCTATGATTTTTTGTGACATGATGATAGTAAAATTCTCCTGTTAGTGATTCCATAGTAAATTATGACGGAAAACGAGGAAAAAACCTCATAATACTACCCCGACATAGTAAGTATTGTTCGTGCATTTAATTTACCTTTAATAAACACCAAAATTCTGATTTTATATGTTTCGTTATTATAAAAAAACATAAATGATGTATCCTCTGTACGTAACTGACTTACTAATACTGGTATTTTCTTATTAATAACTTCCTCTTTCAATATTGGTAACCCAGATCCTACCTACATTCTGCCGAGGAATTGCGACACAATTGGCCTCATTTAGCATAATTAGAGCCGCTTCTTTGATTTTTTTTTTTTACCATCCGTTTCTTTTAGGACTATGTACATTTGAATTATTCCATTGAACCCTATGTTCATTATCCCATGCGTGTTTACATATTTGAGATCTATCATAATCCAAATTATCCATTAAAATGGTTCAACAAACGGGGCCTATTAAGATACGGTGATGAGTCAGACAGGTTGACACTATATCACCCAAACTATTCATTCAAGCTTTGGAAGAAGTTATGAGCAAATTACAATGGAATAAACGGAGTATTAACAGAAATGGCCAATATTTGAATCACTTGAGATATGCAGACGACATTGTATTAATAACAGATAAAAGGGAAGAATTACAAAATATGATGGATGAATTAAATAGCTAATCAACAAAAATAGGTCTACAAATGAATCATAATAAAACGAAAATTATGACCAACCAAAAGAATTAATAATTACAATTGCATAAACAACTATAGTTGTTCTATAGTTGTAAAAGAATATGTATATTTCGGACAACTAGTTAAATTAAATAAAGAAAATCAGACCGGAGAAATAAAGAGAAGGATACGGTTGGCTTGGGTATCCTTCGGAAAACTTTTCTATATACTAAAAAATAGAAAATACCTTGGACGTTTTAAAAAATAGGAAATACCTACCAAACTTTTACGTTTACAAAGGAAAACATGGAAAAAATAGCAAAGACCCAAAGAGCCATGGAAAGGCAAATGCTGAACATCAGGCTATCAGATAAGAAAAAAATACTTGGATCCGCAACACAACAAAAGTGACCGATGTATCAAAGCAGATAGCAAAACTTAAGTGGAAGTTCGCTGGACATACCATAAGACAGAAAGGCGACATATGGAATAAGATGATCATACACTGGAGACCATATAGTTACAAACGAAAAAGAGGAAGGCCACAAATGAGATGGTGGCCACAGATGACTTGAAGAAATACGCAAGCCCGAAGTGGATACAAACTGCCTGCAATAGAGAGACGTGGAAGAAGGAAGAGGAGGCCTATGTACAAAATTGGACAGCAATAGATAATAGATAGATAGATAGATAGATAGATAGATAGATAATAGATAGATAGATAGATAGATACACAGATCCAGATATTGTAAAGTTTATTAAAGTGTAGACACTAAGATGGGTTGGACACATTACTAAGATATCATATCAGATAATGCGTACAGATAGAGATTGACATTCTCAAACAGAGGGCAGATCAAGTAGAAAACGCCGCGTGTTGAAGATTCTAAGGGTCAGAAGATGAAGGAAAGTTGCTGGAAATCGACGGGAGTGGCGACTTCTCTACGGGCAGGCCAAGATCTACAAAGGATTTTCGAGCCAACTATAATGATGAAGAGAACAAACAATGAAAGGAATAAAAATAGGGTCACTTAACCTATTTGATCTCGAATCAAGAATATACAAAGTTGCTATAAAGCGCTATAATGATATACACCATAGATATTAGACCACAAATAAAAAAAAAAGATTGCTTGAACCAACAGAAATAAAGGTACTTTGTGGCATAGCTGGAAAGACTCTTCTTAGCAGGGAAACAATTGAAAACATAAGAAATATGTGTGGCAGACAATATTAACACTTGGGTGCTAAAGAAGAAAAAAAAAGGAATGAACATATTATTAGCAGAATCTAAAAAAAAGATCGTAGGAGTCGCTCGACATAAATCTCTAACGGGACGAAGAAGTATAAACCAACCCGAAAAAGGTGGAGCGATAATATAAACATTGATGCAGGTGAATGATGCAGAGACGATTCGGCTAGAATAAAGAAGGAAATTAATAAGGAAAATGCATTTAAAATTTGATTTCACGTATAGAGCGTTTATGTATCCGTTAATAAGTATTTCGGCCTAATAGGCTTCTTCAAAACGGCAATTCATAGTTGCTCTGAACGTGAAAATAAATATCTTCTATCTTAGAAGCAACTCTAACATGGTTTCAAATGGACGCAAATAGCGACATCTGATATTAAAATCCGTGGTTTCGAAAATTAGTTTACGGATTTTAAGGAAAATTAATGTTTGGAATATTAAGTTTTAATATAAGTAGATTTTACCAATTAAGTTTTTTAAATGATAAGATAATATGATTTAATAATAATATATTACATATATTTATATCCTAATTTGTACAATATCCAATTATCTAACAGTTAAATCCAGCTGGCTTATAATTACATGAGCTATGGACGCCTCCCCCTGTCACGTGAACATCGTTGAACTTCCAGTCTGAACACTTTTTACCACATACAATGTAGTAAGGTCTAGCTGAGTTGCCTGAAACGGTTCCGCTGATGTGTGACAATTTTAGTCCTTTGAGTGCTATATTGTTGTTGGGATGACCGTTGTTACCAAAGTCCATTTGTACGTAGACTCCTTGTTGTCTAACACCTGCAGGAAAATTTTCGTGTAAATTTTTTTTCTGTTTTAAAAATGAATTCATAATTGTTTATCATAAATAGACCTTTTCGTATTATGGTTAGTAAAGGTACCACATAAAAGTAATGTAAACTATTCTTATAAAAATATGGTATTAGATTGTTACAACACTTCCGACGATAAAGAAAAAGTATCTAAACTCTAAAATATTCGAGATGTTATCGAAAATCCCGAAATTCCTAATGTAATAAACATAGTAAGCTAAAACTTTAGTAGTAATTGGGTTAAGTTTATGGTTGTTATTGTATTAAAGTATTATATAAGTCGGTGTTTGAATAAAACTGGTGTAAATAAAAGAAGTGTAAAATTGGTAAAATGTATGATATCAAAGTAATATTTAGTAATTGTTAATGGTAAATACATAATTTACTGATTTTAATAAAGAAATGGATACGTCCGGACCCACGCATGTTTTTTTTAATGAAAGAAGAGAAAAAGCTAAAGGAGAAGCGTAGAGAAAAACGGGAAGAAAAAAGGAAAAGAGTCGTAGAAAAGTAGAGGTAAAAATCATAACTTTATCTAAAATGCACGAAAAGTTAGAGGTAAGGCAAATCACTAATAGAATAAACAAATTAGAATATCAACAAAACTGTTTAGATAATAAAATAGAAAAACAACAAAACTATGTAAATCTAGTTTAGAAAGAGAGATAGTGGAAAGGAGAACAGTATTCAAGCTTGTTTATCTAATATGGTTTCAATAACTAAGGTCGAATCTGATCAGACAGCATCATAATCTTCCATAGTTGAACCAGGCATAATTAGAGCTAGTACTATTTTAAAACCACCCACATTCGATGGTCAAGTAGCATGAGAAACTTATCGTTTTGAATTCGAAGCGACAACTAAAGCAAATATCTGGACTAAGAACGAAATGGCAGTAGCTTCATTGGTAGTGTCGTTTCGAGGACACACAGCAACCGTACTGCAATTTTTTTCCTAAGATGCAGCCAGTTATACATCTCTCGTTCAAGCTCTAGAGAGAAGATATGGCCAGCAGTATCTAAAGTAAATTTTTCAACGTTAACATCAACGTTAATTTTTATGTCTTATTATGTCAATTAGCAGCAGAAACAAGAAAATAAGAATCAAAGAATGAGGTCAAAAGTTTGCCTAGATCGCCACATCCAGAAGTCCATCACATAGCCCTGCAAGAAATATGTCTCCAAGAAATCGATTTCCCACAAGTGAGCACAGAAGTAAAACAGACACTCTGGAATCAAAAATTGCACATTTGAAGGAGCAACTAGCGATTAGTAAAAATGAAATAAGATAGTTAAGAGAACAGTGTCAATTATGCAGAATAAACAATTACAAGAATTCCAAGATTTTTTGAACTAATTTCAGGTTCAAAGTCACTATCTAATTAAGAAAAAATAGAATGTAATGGAAGAAGTAAGTCTCCGAAAAATCAAAGTTAAACAGAAAGAAAATAATAATCACACTACTCAGGAAAACCTTAAAAAGAGCCAAAATAAAGATAATGACTTTAAAGTCATACGAGAATGGCTTAGAGATAAACCTATTTGTCAGGAAATAATCAAATAGAGTAGAAATATAAAGGCGTACTGGGCTTAATGAAATCTCTGTCCTTTTCAATGGTCTATTATGTCAGGAGTGGGAAAGTCCCGATGGTATACTCACAGTTTAATAAGTGGTACTGCCAAAATCAGACAATAAACTGTTTTGCAAGAACTTCGTAGCAGTCTTCCTGGAGGACATATTGGAGTCAAAATTTTTGGAGGTCAAAATTTTTCTATGATGAAAATGGCACAATACCTTTTCACCAGAGCCTTTTAAACGACTTGCAGTGAATATTATCGGTCCACTTCCAATAACAGAGAAGAGAAACAACTGATTAATGGTCACAATGGATTGTTTTTCACATTGGCTTGAAATTGCACCCTTTTCTAACCAAGAAGCGAATACAGTAGCAGAAGCATTTATAACATACATCTTATCAAGACATGGAGATTTTTAATTATTACATTCTGATTGAGTACGAAATTTTGAATAAGAATTATGGTAAGAATTAATGAAAATCTTGGGTATTAAGAAAACTCTCACTGCTCCTCTCCATCCTTAGTCGGAAGGAATGCTCGAAAAGCATAATAGAACTGTTTGTCAATACCTTCCAATGTTTATCAAGAATATCGCCAAAGATTGAGATACTACAATACCTCTATTCCTGTTAGCCTATACAAGTTCAGAACGTGAAGCAACCGACTTTTCTCCATTCAAGATGATAACCGGAAGAGAAATAAAGCTCCTTAAATTTCTTATTTAGGAAGATTGCCTCCTTACAAAGAAGAACGTTTATTTAAGTCTACGAATTTGCTCGTCAAAGATTTTTTTTGTAGGAGTGGAGCCGTAAAGAATATACCAGGAACCATATATCGTCGACGATATCAAAATAGAAAGTTTGAGGTGCAGAGGATACGTAATGCCAAAGCATGGACAAAAATGTTCTTTGTAAGAAAAATATTCCTTGATGGACTCATGCGGCAGGAAAAGAGGAAGATCCAGAACAAAATTGCTTGATAATAAATAAGAAGGGGAACATAAGAATACGCGTTTAGCAAAGGAAGACGTTAGATAAGGTAGACTGAAGAGAAAGTTAAAAGGATACAAGGACTGATAATATTGTAAATCTAGAACAATACCGAAAATGTTGATTGCTTCTGTGTCTTGTATTGTTTAAATTTGGCTCTCGTGGATAATGATCGTTTGTGTTGTACAAAAGATTGTACCATAGAAATATATTTATATTAAATAATGAGATTAATATATAAGCTAGGGCGTCTTTGAAATTTAATTAAAAAAATGTTCCAAAATAACATATAATTGATGGAAAAGCGTTTAAGTCGGTATATTGTCCAAGAAGCAGTCTGCTTTAAAAAGGTTAATATAATCAATATGGTTATTTTTTTCCGGTTCACCAATGCTGTTGGTACTAGAGAGGCTTTGTTCTCTGTACAAGTCTTATTCCAGATATATAGAGACGTTAACTGTGACGTATGACGTATACGCATGTCTGGTTGATTACGAGAAAGCGTTTGATCGAGTTCAGCAAGCCAATATGATTTAAATGCTAGAAGAAACAAGAATTAATAACTAAGACCTAAAAATAATTAGAAATCTTTACTGGAATCAGACAGCAAATCTCAGAGTTGAACAGTTGAAGGTAACACACTGACATATTGTTGTGAAGCTATTTTCTTGTGGCATTTTTAAATGAATTACTATTTAACTGGAAATAAGCCACAATTAAAGATAAAAATACGTTTATTGACGTTTCAATTTCCACTTCGGAAATCGTTCTCAAAATACAAACAGTAAATTAAACAAATTTTGTTTTTTGTTACATAGTGAAAAATTCTTCTAATAATTTAATTTTATCTGACTCATTTATATTGACAATTCAGACATACATTTATGCATTTTAAAGTAGACGACTTTAAAATGATATTGCCAATATTGTTGAGTTGCGCTCCTGGACGACTTTACTTATAAGATAGTTCATTCGATTACATGAAATCAACTTTAACTTGAGAATATCCGTCAGAAAAAATCATAGCATGTAATTCGTCTTTAAAAAGACAAACACATGACATGATGACAGTAAAATTCTCCTGTTAGTGATTCCATAGTAAATTATGAGGGAAAAACCAGGAAAAAAACCTCATAATACTATCCCGACATTGTAAGTATTTGTTCGTGCATTTAGTTTACCTTCAATAAACACCAAAATTCTGATTTTATATGTTTCGTTATTTAAAAAACATAAATGATGTATCCTCTATATGTTACTGACTTACTAATACTGGTATTTTCTTATTAATAACTTCCTCTTTCAATATTGGTAACCAGATCCTACTACATTCTGCCGAGGAATTTGCGACACAATTGGCCTCATTTTGCATAATTAAAGCCGCTTCTTTAATTTTTCTTTTTTTACCATCCGTCTCTTTTAGGACTACATTTCAATTATTTCATTGAACCCCATGTTCATTATCTCATGCGTGTTTACATATTTGAGATCTATCAAATTCTCTATTTTTAATATAAGACTGATGTTCACTTATTCTAAAATTTAATGGCCTTGATGTTTCACCTAAATAAAACTGATCGCATTCACAAAGTATTTTATAAATGCAATTCTTTCTCCTTTCTTGTTCATTGTTAGGTTTGGTTTTGGACAAAATAGATCTCAACGTATTTGTTGTTTTGAATGTTGTTAAAATGTTGAATTTATTGCCTATCCTTTTAAGTTTCTCTGATAATCCTTTTATGTACGGTATTGTTATTTTCCTCGTATTATTCCTTGTGTATGCTGTAGGATCTCGTTCTAAAATGTTCTGTTCTATACGATCGATTGTTGAAAATTCCTTATTTATAAACGATAAAGGATAATCATTTTTTAATAAAACAGATGTTAACAAATGTTTCTTGGAGGAGAAACATTTGTTAACATCTGTTTTATTAAAAAATGATTATCCTTTATCGTTTATAAATAAGGAATTTTCAACAATCGATGGAATAGAACAGAACATTTTAGAACGAGATCCTACAGCATACACAAGGAATAATACGAAGAAAATAACAATACCGTACATAAAAGGATTATCAGAAAAACTTAAAAGGATAGGCAATAAATTCAACATTTCAACAACATTCAAAACAACAAACACGTTGAGATCTATTTTGTCCAAAACCAAACCTAACAATAAACAAGAAAGGACAAAGAATTGCATTTATAAAATACCTTGTGAATGCGATCAGTTTTTATTTAGGTGAAACATCAAGGCCATTAAATGTTAGAATAAGTGAACATCAGTCTTATATTAAAAATAGAGAATTTGATAGATCTCAAATATGTAAACACGCATGGGATAATGAACATAGGGTTCAATGGAATAATTCAAATGTAGTCCTAAAAGAACGGATGGTAAAAAAAGAAAAATCAAAGAAGCGGCTTAATTATGCTAAATGAGGCCAATTGTGTCGCAAATTCCTCGGCAGAATGTAGTAGGATCTGGTTACCAATATTGAAAGAGGAAGTTATTAATAAGAAAATACCAGTATTAGTAAGTCAGTAACATATAGAGGATACATCATTTATGTTTTTTTAAATAACGAAATGTATAAAATCAGAATTTTGGTGTTTATTGAAGGTAAACTAAATGCACGAACAAATACTTACCATGTCGGGATAGTATTATGAGGTTTTTTTCCTGGTTTTTCCCTCATAATTTACTATGGAATCACTAACAGGAGAATTTTACTGTCATCATGTCATGTGTTTGTCTTTTTAAAGACGAATTATATGCTATGATTTTTTCTGACGGATATTCTCAAGTTAAAGTTGATTTCATGTAATCGAATGAACTAGTATCTTATAAGTAAAGTCGTCCCAGGAGCGCAACTCAACAATATCTGCAATATCATTTTAAAGTCGTCTACTTTAAAATGCATAATGTATGTCTGAATTGTCAATATAAATGAGTCAGATAAAATTAAATTATTAGAAGAATTTTTCACTATGTAACAAAAAACAAAATTTTGTTTAATTTACTGTTTGTATTTTGAGAACGATTTCCGAAGTGGAAATTGAAACGTCAATAAACGTATTTTTATCTTTAATTGTGGCTTATTCCCAGTTAAATAGTAATTAACACAACTGACTATGTGAAAATCATACGTGAAGTGAGGAAGGGATGTATTCCGTCTCTGCTAATCTTCAATCTGTACTCTGGAAGAATATTTATCGAAGCTTTGCACTAAACTAAAAAAGGTATTATACTAAACGGTATATGTTGTTTAGCCGTTTCCGGCTAAACAACATCAGATATGCAGATGACACCATAGTAGTTGCAAACAACTTAGAAGACCTACAAGTTCTACAAAAGCTTATGAGACAAGGATAATAGAAGGTCAACTCTACGTCAACGAATCCTCTGTAGAAAGAGTGGCGCAATACAGCTACCTCGGCACCATAATGAATAAAGAATGGACCAACAACCGGTAGATTGGAGCACGCATCGGAAAAGCTAGATCCACGTTCAATCGGATGGGGGCCTTCTTCAAGAGTCCCAACCTCTATCTTGATACAAAAGTAAGAATACTGCGATGCTACGTCCTTCTCTATCCTTTTTTGTGGTGTTGAATCGTGGACCTTGAACGAAGATATGTGCCAAACAGTGTCATAAATAAGGAGGTCCTCAGAAGAATGAAAAGGAACCGAGAGGTTCTTTTTCATTCTTCAAAGTTACAGTTCTTCGGACATATTATGCGAAATGAATCCTGCAAGGAAAAATATTTGGAAAGCGAGGTCCAGGAAGAAGAAGAACATCTTGGTTAAAGAACCTCATAATCTGGTTCAATAGAACATTTGTGCATCTTTTTAACGCGCTGCTGCAGATAAGATAAATATTGCCATGATGATCGCCAACATTCGTAACGGATAGGCACATCAAGAAGAAGAAGGTTAATTTTTGTACAAATGTTATCATTGGCCAAATTGATTAGACCGAAGCTTAGTGATTCAATTGTTATTATACTCTTTTCCTAAAATAGCTTAGTTAATAGAAAACAAATCATTTTTAATTCTTTCAGGTGCAATATCATAAACATATCTTAAGTTATTGATGGATTCGACCGTTACTTGATGGAAATTAATTTTATCTAACAATAAAACACTAAAAACTTTTGTTTTCAACTCTTCCACGAAATGTATGGTATGTGATCTATTTTTGGCATGAGTTGACACTTTATAGTCTTTATTTAAATAAGTTAAGGAGGGGAGAGCTGTTTGTTTCAAATTGGTCGTTCAAAAGACGCTTACACAGTGGTGTATACAAACTTAAATGAGGCAAGTGTCCAAAAGCTGACATCGGTCAAGCTGGTAGAACCTGTAACATGCGTATAGTACAACACAAAAGGACTTTCAATAGTCGAAAAACAGATTCTACGTACGCACTTCTTCTTTTAAACCATAATCAATATTTTAATGACCAATGTCAAATTCTTCATATTCAAAATGAAGGCCTTAAGCTACCTTTATTAGAATCTATGGAAGTTAATAAATTAAAAAATGCAGATTTAATTCTGAATGAATAACTTAATAAAACTAGTTTTCCCCTTCCCAACTTATTCAGTTGATGATTATAAACTTTAAACGCATTCAAAAAATAGATCACTTGAGAAAGGCACTCTTTCGAAACAGCTGTAGTGATAATAAATTATAATTAATTTTGTGGAAGTATTGAAAATAAAAGTTTTCGGTGTCTTATTGTTAGATATCTTAAGTTATTGTAACAATCACTATATAATGTAATACTTTTAAATAAACTAACTAACTACCTTAACCAACTAACTAACTTAACTTAAATAAATAAACTAAGTTTTTTCTGATTACCTTTAAGAATGACGTTCTGAAAACTAATATCCGTCAATTCTCCTGCTCCACCATCAGCCATCGCTATAACCTGAACACCTGTAAGCCCTCCTTCCAAAACGCAATTGTGGAATGTTATGTTTTTAGTAGTGTTTTCTTCATATGAAGTTTTGCTAAAGCCCGCTGTAGCGCAAATACCATTAGAATTAACACAGTGGATGTCTGTGAAGACCATATTAGATCCTTGGTTGACATACAAACACTGGTCTTGGTTATGGATGTAAACGTTGTTTATGTGTACATTTTCAGCCCAAGAGATGCCTATTCCGTCAGTATTTCTTCCCAACTAAAATAAAAATCATTTAAAATCAAAATATAATTTTTATGTACATTCTCAAGTTATATAGATATTATGATTCTTATTATAAATAAACTTCCGGCAGCTACAACAGTTGGTAAATATTCATCACAATTGATATGTTTCTCGTTTGAGAAACAATAAACCTACTTTAAATATCATAATTTTATTAATCTAAATTATCTCATAACTTAAGCTAAATATTTATTTTGCTTATTTTACCTTACAACAAGTTGTTTTATAAATATTACAAAAACTATTTCAACAGACCTACTACTTACTTTGTCTCCTTCGGCACAATCAGCGTTCCATCCATCTATTGTCAAATCTTTAACCTTGGTTATGCCTGTACAGAACATTGGGCAATTCCTCAAGCGAATGTTGCTGAAATGACCATTGTTGACATTTGTGATTTGTAGCAGTTTTGGTTTTTTAACGCCGCCACTACCTCCGTGGCCGTCCCAGTATTTCTCACCGTGACCATGAAAAAGTGAACCTAATGAATACCAAAAATAACAAAACATAAATAGGTAAACTTAAGGATCATGCAAACCAAGATTTTAAGTTAATTATTAAATAATTGAAAAAACGGAAAGTATTTCAGATCATTTATAATACTGAATTTGGTGGAAGATGTACTATGTAACCACAATCTGCGTATGCCATCTTTGCTATCTTAACCTTATTATATACATTTTTGAATATACCTAATAAACTGTAACTGAGCTACTCTCTATCAGGACATTCTGCACGGATTTCCCCTTCCTAGTATCTTCTCCTGCATAATCTAAGTATACTCTATCCAAAGTCGATTGAAAACGGAATTCCCGAGCTTATCTGTGATATCTGAGAAACTCATAGGCGTACGAAATTTAGTTTTTCTAAAATACTTAATTTGATGAATATAAGTTAACTTGTCTTGAAATTTAGTTTGTAACATTAAATGATTTTGCATAAATGAAATAAAGCAAAAATAATAAACGCATGTCCATATCACCCTGACAAAACAAATACACTATTTAGATGACTCCAATTAAAGTGAATAGTGTCAATACAGTAGTCTTAACAAGGTGTCACACGACCCCCTTTGTTATTTAAAATTTTCGAGGTGGTTGCTTATAATTCAAATGGGTGCGCTGGAGGGGATAATATTTTTATACTGTAAATTGTCAATTTAAGAATATAAATTGATCTGTTTCTGTTTTTTTTCACATAGTACATAAAAACCCTAAAAATGAATTTATTCCATACATATGGACCGCATGGTATGTCCCAGGTACAGTCATTACACCTAATTCTTTGAAATTTGCTTTGCAGAAATCTCTAAATTTCAAACCAAGCAGTATCCTAATCATTTTTTCTTAATAATAGAAACTTGTTCAGCTTTGGTGCTTCCTCCACAGAAAATTATCCCACATCTTATATGTGAGTGGAAGTTTGCAAAATAGAGAACTCGTTTTCAGATTTCATCTAGGTGGATATTACTCTAAAAGAGTAACAAACTGATGTTAGCTTAGCACATAATTTTCCAACCTGCATTTCAATGTCTAAATTCTGGTCTATATGTATAACCAGAAATTTGGTGTTATCTACTAAGAATACTTCCACCTCTTGTATCTGAACACTACTTGATATCATACTGCTGTTCATTTTAGTTTTGAAAATTATATAATTTGTTTTCTCCTTATCTACTTTTAAATCTGTTCATATTGAACCACATCTAATCCTCCTGCAAAGTATCATTGGCAATAACTAGAAGGTTATTCAAAGACGATACTAAGATTAATATATTTGTGTCATCGGCAAACGTGACTAGATAAATATTGTTCCTAGTTTTTACAGTGTTTATAGCAATATCATTAACATTAAAAACAAGTAACAAAGTATTTCAATTTTTTGTAAAATATACCAATATAGCAAGATGCCAGTAAGAAACATGTATTATGAAGAAAAACTCGATTTACCGCTTAAAAAATGAGTCCCTCCGTAAAATTAGTTCTCTTCAAAATAAAATTTCAGAAGTTTAAAATCAATGAAAGTATAAAGCAGCAAGAAGAATTTTCAATTTATTGGGGTGAGTATTCTAATATTAGTTTAACTTGTGCTTTTTGGTTAATGTTTTTAGTGAGCAATCATTATAAATCCTTGAGATTTTTTTATTATCCTGATTTTTTTGCGCTTATTGTTATAGTAATTTCTATTCAGCCTTCAACTACAATTTTTACCTTTGTGTGTCTTCGTTGGACAAGGAAATTCTGTTTAGTGATATTAGTTGCGACCGTTAGACTTTAGTGAGACCATCTACTTATACACCAACTGGGTCTCCTTGCCAAATCTGGATCTCATGTGTTCGTATGCCCATAGTAGTACGCACTGAGAATACTCCATTAAATGAACTTTGGTTTTTGTAAAAAATGAGTAAAATCAGGCATGATTGAACGGCCTGATATTTTTAAATGGAGGCATTAGTATTTGGGTGAAATAAAAAAATTTCGTTCTCAACGATACACCGTCATTTATTTGGACGAAACTTGGGTGAATGTTGGACATAATGTTTCCAAAGAATGGAAGGTCCTCTCAGTGACTTTAACCAGGAATGCGTTTGTTAAGGGGTTGTCAACAAGCCTTAAATAGCCGACACAACGAGGCCCCCCATTTGTTATAGTGCTTGCGGGTAGCGAATTGGGTTTTGTAGAAGGAGCTGCTTTTTGGTTTTTAGCTAAAAAAAACTCAGCGGACTGTCATGATAAGATGAATAGCCATATATTTGAACAACGGTTTAAACAAAAAGTTGCTTCCTGATCTTCCAGAGAAAACTTCGTACCATTTGAGGAGAGAAGAAGTGATTCCGACACAAACCTTCAATAAAGATCAAATTAATACATGGTTGTTGAAAAAAGATCCCTATTTCAAAGAAGAATATTTAAAATCAGAGCTTATGAAAGTCGTAAACATATACAAAGAAATATACATAAAATATAAAATTGATGAGATGTGCAAAGAGAAAAATGTTGCCATTTTGAGACTACCTCCATCCCATTATGAGTTAAATTCAATTGAAATAGTATGGAATCAAGTCAAAAGACATTGCCTTACACAATAAATGCATTTGGTGTAGTAACAGTGGAAAACTGGAAAAAGGTATTGTAAACTTGCTATTAAGTAAGAGCAAAAATTTTGGTTATTGATGGGTTGATGGACGATATTGATTCAGTGGTAATAAGTGTGACGGTGGACAGTGAAAGTGATAGTGATGATAGAGAAGATGAGGATGATGTTAATATGCAGTGAATAAATTGTGTGATAGTGTGCAAATCGGCGGACACAAAGTGCCAAATCGGAAAAAATTGCTTATACCGGCAATTACTCTGTCTCTATCTGCGTTAGCCATCACATTGATGTTACTTACCTTCTACCACGTGGAGGTGCAGATTTGGATTTTTTCTTCTACGAGATTAAGACCTTTCGGCATTCCTTAATCTCTCCAGAGCTTTAGAAAGCCCAATCAGATCGGACCTAATTAAATTGATAAAAAAAGGCATGCCACAGGAAATTAGATTCAAAACCTTTTTAAAAATCAAGTAATTTCAATAGAACGTATTAAACTATATGATTATTGACGTTTCACCGGCAACAATTATAATGAAAGATAGTTCATTCAATTACATTAAGATAGGAACTGGAGAAGAGATGATATCTTGATAGCAGGAATAATATAAATAAAATTTAAAACAATAGTTACATATGGATGTCTTAACTTTTGGCATGTGCTGTTGAACTAGTACTATTTATTACAGAATTACAGAATAGTTTAAAAGAGGAATTTCTGAACTGTTAAATCTAGGACGTTTAGTATATGGAATTAATAATATAAGATGAGAAATTGAAGAATGCATTTTAGTATAAAACACAACTTACTGTAAATATAGCTTACTAAATATATATATAGATAGCTTATTAAGTATAAACAGCTCACTAAAAAACACAAACCTGAAAGTTGACAGAGCAGCAATTATACCAGTGTATCAATGCAAAAAAAAATGCTAGTGATAGATAGACCAATATAAATACTGGGGAGTCCAACGTATAGACAGGAAAAATTATATGAAGATTGTAGAAAATGTCAAGTAATACAGCCAATATAAGATCTAAGAAATATATTATTGCAAAACGATTCCTCATAAATGAAATGAAATGACAAGTTCTAAATACTAATACAAATCCTGCTTACACTAAAGTCTAGAAAATCGGATTACCAATCATTCTAATACAATAAAGGTAGTATCATATTAACAATAATATGGTTATTGTGATTGAAGAGCAACTTCCTGACGAATCAGACAGAAATAATCTAACTAGTACTACCAGAAAAAAATAGTATCTACTGTTATAGAAAAAAATAATAAATAAATCTTACCTTTTTCTCCAATTACTTTAATATTATTTCCAGAAATAGTAACCAACCATATATCGTAGTGTCCAACATCAAAACTAATAGTACCCCTGACAGTCAAAGTTGAACCATCTCTTAAATGTAAGTTTAAAGATTTTCCACTAGGTACTTCTACATTGCTTAAAATAATATTAGTGCAGTATTTCAGTACAGCCTCTACTTGTGAGTATTCTTTAATAGTACAAGAAATGCCAACTTCCTCTGTATTGTTTGTGGCCTGCTGTATTGAAGTACCGGATGCTAGTGCCAGTAACGACAATAGCAAAGGTATCGAGGAAATCATTTTGAATTATTAGTTAAAGTGAGTATAAAATGAACGTTTAATTTTTAGTATATTTATATAGATTATTATCTTTATAATTTTTACTTTTGTTGCAATATAAAGTTTTGAAGTGTTTAAAAATAAAGTCCCTGATATAGTTTTTCAATATTTTTTCAATAAAATTACAATAGTAATTTGTTTCTAAATAAAAGAAAGGCAGTTAATAGGCACTCTAAAGTGCATTTAAGTAGGAAATAAATCAGACCTAAAGACGTCAGCAATTGTAAATACTGATATGATCTCAATTATATAGAGTGCATATCTTAAAATAATTAAAGAGTTTATTTGAAAACAACACTTGTCCAAAAATTAAACTTTTTGCAAATTAAGAAAAACTGCCCAGATTCAATTTATTTTAAATCTTAGTTTTAGTAAGATCACTTTAGTAGGAGAGGAACTGGAAAAACTGAGTTTTTTGTTGTCTACTAAAAAAAACTCAGTTTTTCCAGTTCCTCTCCTCCTACTAAGTAATGTAGTGTCAATAAGTCCACCCATTTTAAATTTAATGTCTGTTTTGCCCTTTTAATTGTGTTCTGTTTATCCCTAAGTGTCCTTAATTGTTTTAGTTTTAATAATTTTACCATGTCTGATATTCCAATTATCTGCCAAAAAAAGTAATCAAATTCAACTTTATGAAAGAAATTTGATAATTATAAGTTAAAGGAATTGCACTCACTTTTTTTGCACGAGAAATGGGACTAAAGTCACTATGGCAATGTAGGTATAAATTACCTCGTATTGGGTATACGTGTATTATGTCTAATGTTAATTTCAGGACATGCATCAGGGTATATAAAAACGCATAATGGTGTAGTTTTTGTTCCGACCTGGACAACCGTCAGAGAAAAATTAAATTTCACCAAATGTAAATGAGTATATGATTTTTAGATAATAAAATATCATGGAAGTTACTTCATTTTGACCACGTTTAGATATTTCTTCGTGACAGGTATACATATGGCCATAATTGCCTCCGATGTCGTGTACACCAAATACATAGTACCAAAGTTGACTGCTGCAGAAAACTGTATTTGTAGTCAAATTGGGTAGCAGGAGATTTTACATAAAGTCAAACGCTATTGCAAATACATTATTAATATGCTGAGATTTCTGTTTTATTTTTCGTTTTATATCAGAAAATGCCTTTGCTTTAGCGTGATGAAGGTTTCTCACTTAAAACAGTTCCTTTTTTATTGTTTCAACGATATTCGGTAGTTTTAGTTGGGTTTTAGTTTCATCACATAATGTACAAGTGTCATATATGGGATAAGAAAAATACATATTAAATCGAATTTGAAATATGTTATCATAAACAAAGTAAGAAACCTTGGACTGTGGGTGAAATTTTTTAAAAGCTCTGTGCATATTTTTTCGATTTAACTCTGATGGTAGATAAATTTTATTTTTGTCCAGTCTCTGTATATAATGACTTTGGCGGCTTTTAAATGAAGAAATGTGAGCTATTATGTTTTAAATCATGAATGTGTTGCTTGTGTGAGTCCATTTCAAATAGGTAAAGAAATAATAAATAAGACTTACTCACAATCAATTTAATTTAACTATCAGACGACCGGTTTCGCTTTCTACAATATGCAAAGCATCCTCAGGTCTCGATACAAAGTTAAACAAATGCTGAAATAATAAAAACCTCATATTAGGGTGTTGTCTAATAACGATAAACAAAGTAGGTGTTGTAAATTACAATAATTATGCCAATATTACATGTCTGTGGTTTTATTTAAATGAGTAAGTTGAATAAAAGGTATAAAATTTTAAAAAAGTTTAAACAGACAAGGTAAGGCCCACAAATTGTTATAAAATAGTCTCTTCGATTGTAATAAATTAATAAATGAGCAAATAAATAAATAAAATAAACATTACTTACATGCCGGTACTCTATTAAGAGATGGATGGTAGAACATGGTTGAAACTACTTTATATTGTTGAATGGAGAACTCAATTCTATTATTGCAGTTGTTTGACAGTAAACGGGAAGTTCTTGAGGAGATAGATTTGATCCAATGAAGAAGAGATATGTGTGAGATTGTTTGTTAAATGTAAGTGATGTAATATACCATTGTGTTATTAAAAGCTATTTATACTTATTCGAGAGATATATTTTTGAAATGTGTGTTATTTATTGAGTAATTGTTTTATACACGATGTAGTGCATAAAGCCGTTCCCCATTTTTAAATTCAATGTTTGTTTCGTCCCTTCTAAGTGTTTTCTGTTTTAGTGTGTTTAAATTATCCTTAATGTTTGTATTTAATATTTTATTTACTTGACTTTCCAATAATTAACTCATTGCCAATAGAACTTTATCAAAGTAATTTGATAACTACAAGTTGGAAAATAATTGCACACCCACACAATTTTTACATCTAAACTATTACATAACACACATTTCAAAAATATATCTCTCGAATAAGTATAAATAGCTTTTAATAACACAATGGTATATTACATCACTTACATTTAACAAACAATCTCACACATATCTCTTCTTCATTGGATCAAATCTATCTCCTCAAGAACTTCCCGTTTACTGTCAAACAACTGCAATAATAGAATTGAGTTCTCCATTCAACAATATAAAGTAGTTTCAACCATGTTCTACCATCCATCTATTAATAGAGTACCGGCATGTAAGTAATGTTTATTTTATTTATTTATTTGCTCATTTATTAATTTATTACAATCGAAGAGACTATTTTATAACAATTTGTGGGCCTTACCTTGTCTGTTTAAACTTTTTAAAAATTTTATACCTTTTATTCAACTTACTCATTTAAATAAAACCACAGACATGTAATATTGGCATAATTATTGTAATTTACAACACCTACTTTGTTTATCGTTATTAGACAACACCCTAATATGGGTTTTTATTATTTCAGCATTTGTTTAACTTTGTATCGAGACCTGAGGATGCTTTGCATATTGTAGAAAGCGAAACCGGTTGTCTGATAGTTAAATTAAATTGATTATGAGTAAGTCTTATTTATTATTTCTTTACCTATTTCTATTATGTTTTCTTTATTAGTAGGGTGTGTCTTCTTAGGCCTATTTATATGCTTGCCCCGGACATCTTGGGTTGCTCGGCTATCAATCTGCACCAATCCTGCTCATCTTTGGTCTTACAAAAGTATTACAAAAAAACATACAGTCATATGTCTAACAAATAGTTTTATTTCGATGACAATAAATATATTCTACAAAATATCTACAAAAATGGCTACAAAACTTTAAACAATCACGCTGGAGCGGCTGTAGTAGCATTATCTCCTCTAGGATCGATACTTGCTGCAGTAGTCGGAGCTGCAGTTGTGACTGAAATTAAAAATGGTTTATATTTTTGTTGCCACTTATTATCTACTGATGTTTTGTAAAAAGAATAAAAATATATCAGACTAAAACGAAAACACAAAGACTAAAACCATATATTATGGTTATCATGAGTCAATAGTAATGTTGGAAGTATTATTTGTTTTTGCTTTTTATTATAATGTATTCCTAAGTAGAGTTTCTTATATGAATAAGGAGTAATATGCGGTAAGCTATCAACACTCTACGCAAATAAAACTTAAAAAAAATGTAGTGCCTTCTCTCTAGTTTGCTTGTTAATGCTTGAGAAATAAAAATGATTATAAGCGAAGCATGTATGAAAATTTTGGGTGCACCTGAATTAGCAAATTTTTTATCCCAAATTCAACGTTGTACCCACGGTAATGGAGGTATTTAAATAAGTACGCTTAATTTCCAGTTTAATGTACATTTTCAATAATAATCAATAACATTCAAAATGTGAAATAATTTTATTGAAGGTGTTCAAAATTACCTCCTTCTAATTCAACACAAGCGCAAATTGTCTAAGCAATTCACGTGTACATGCCGTATGTATCATCTCTGGCGTAATCAGGGTACACGCTCAGGGTCTTATTTAAGTTTTTAAATCATCTACACCTGTAGGTTCTTCGTTATAAGCGATCCATTTTAAATAGCCTCATACAAAAAAAAACTAAGGGTGATATAAGTGAAGATCTTGAAGGCCATCCGCTGGTTTCAATCTATTTGTTTGTAAATGTTGCATTAAGGTAATTAATTAAAATACCGCTGATATTAGGGAGTGCGTCATATTGTTGCCATACCATAACTCCCCTTTTGCTTGAAGGAATATTCTTCAGTGAGAAAGGTAGCTCATTTTTCATAAAATTCTGATATCTGTTGCCATTTAAATATTCTTCATAAAAAATATGGACCTATTAAACGCCCAATAAATAACCCACACCAAACATTAATTTCGCATCTGGTGCAGATTTTCCACTAACCAATAAGGGAGCTATTGCTATTTACAATGAAATTATATTAATAATCAAAAACTATATCGCTGATTTTTTTCCGGTTTTTTTCGTAAGGCGCCATCTTTAAAAATCATAAAAACTATTTTTTGGTGTATTGGTAGATTTTCTCCAATTTATATACTTCAAAATTGAATAAATCAAGCTTTCTAAAAGTTATATTTTAAATTAAATGAGGCATTAAGACATTCTGTTGTGCCGATTTACCTTTAAACTCCTCCAAAAAGCATGATTTTGGCGGTTTTTAAGGAGTTTGGGGGGATTAATCGCATTTTTTGAGATCGGCATAAGCTGAATTTTTTTTTATCACTTTTTATGTAATTAAAAAATAAGTGTACATTACCTAAAAATGCATTTTTTTTGAAAAAAGTGTATAACTCTTTTTTGGAGGTGGCTCCAGGTTCAATTTTTTTTTATTTTATGTATTTAATCAATACAAACACAGGGTCATGAGTACATAAGTAAATATAAATAATGATTATACATATAACAAAAAAAACTTGAACATGCAGCCACAAAACAAAAGTTTTACGCTTTTTTCGAAAAATAAAATGCGTTCTTAGGTTATATACACTGACCCTACGTGTTTATAAAAAATAGACAAGTTTTGTAAAAGCCTCAATTATACCTGTT